AATTCAATGTTTGATAGAAAACCTCATGAAATGAATGCAAACCTTAAGGCCATTGGAAACGGCTTCGAGACCTTCGCCCACATTAACCCCGAAATCGACGAAAATTTTGAGTTTATTTTTCACATAATATTCAGACAATTGTTTCGAGTATTCTTCGTATTTGTGTTTATAATCAAAGGTCAGGAATCCTATGACAGTGCGGGCGCCGTAATGGAGCTACCGGTGCCATCATATAGTGTTAGACCACATAAATAATTATAAAGGTAATAATTGCATACCTTGACAATAAAGTCATGGATTTTGATGGGCGCGTATCCGACACTAGTATAGCCAGAAGTGGCGCCGATATTGATTAGGCGTCCCTTTCGGGCCAAGTGTTCAAACAACTCCTCAAAAACAGGTGAACCGATTGTCTCCCAAATTGACGTCAATTCCCGACTAAAAGACCACAAAAACTATTATTTAAAACATAATTAAAAACTTTTTGAATGCAATAAATAACCGGATATTCAGTGTTCAAGATTTGATCCAAATTCTCGGTCTTATAATTGATAACCCGATGACAACCCAACTCTTTGAGGAACTCCTGCTTCTTGTGGTGATATGACGGACAAAGAGTTGGTGTCGTGGAGACAAAAAGGTTAAAATATTTTTGTTATTTTATTTTTTAATTTTATTAATTTTGTTATATATTAAATGATTAGTATGTATCATAATTGTTACAAACTTTTTATGATTATTTTAAATATAAAATGAAAATAATATTAAATATTATTAATAATTAGTATAACTCTTATTAGTCTGTAAATTATTTTCGGATCAATTATACAATATTAATTGAAATATTTAAAGTTAAATTTAAAATATACAAATTTTTAATACAATATTAATTAAAATAGATACCCGATCAATTTACCAAACTTGAAATTTCTATTTTAAAAATGAAATGTAAATGTAATGATAGATTTATTGCTATCTTATACCAGGTTTAGTACATATTGCCTGCAATTGTCATAAAATATGTTTTCCAAATGTAAGTTTATAAATTCACCAAGGTTAATAGATTTTTAATGTCCTTGCTCATATCCACTTTAGTTGAACATATTATCTTAATTTATCTAAAATTTATAAGATTTTAAATAGCTCTGATCAGAATTAACATCCAATCAAAACTTTACAACAAAATTATTACAACAAGCGTAACAAACATAACAAACATAACAAACATAAACATAACACAAGTTTGATTGAATCAGAATTAACTAATGTGGAATTATGAACCAGAGAGTTAGGTGTAAATATTGAACCATTTTTCATATCCATTTGATCCAGATTAGGGGAAATTAATTTTATCTTATAGTCTGAACACAAATCCATTTGAATAAATATCTTATTATTTTCTATCCACGAGTTGTACTTGTTTTTAATCGCATATTTAGATAATGCATCAAGGTTCTTTTGCAAATCAGCTAATCTTGTATTTATTTGCAATATATCTTTAATATATGGAAATGTCATTTATATGAATATCAGTATATTTTTAAAAAGCCAGAAAAATGTAAATGTTAAATATATTTTAACTTTTACTTATTTTAGCGGTAATATTGCTAAATACAAAGTAAACGCATTTTATTCTCAATCTGGCCAAAAACTAGCCTATATCCATTATAACATATAGGCTATTGGCTAGTTTTGGCCATATTGAGAATAAAACAAGTTTACAATACTGTACTGACAATCGTATTAAAGCAGTGTTGAAGAGTACTATCCATTTATATCTATAAAATACACTATAATTCTTACCGTATAATCCTCGATACCCTTTGTATAACGAATACATTTGTTGAGATATTTTATGTTTAACTTTATATACTGAATATGTTTCTCCACGAAATTGTGTCCTGATCATTTCAAACATAGATTCGCTTATTGCGTTAATGTCGGTTGTTTCTAGAAACACAAAAAACCCAAATTTTTCACTATTAAATAAAATTAAAATATAAATATCTAACCTTTAATTATATTTCCATTAGCCATTCGTATTATACAAAAGGGTTGGTTCTTCATAAGTAGTCTATAAAATATATCACATTTTTTGTCGATAATAGCATTCAATACTGAATTGAATTCTTTGTCTCCAATAATGGGTTTATTTGTCATAAATGTCTGCAATTGTGATAAAATGTGCGAACATTCGGTCCGCATTTTAGTAGTAAAATCTGATGGACAAAACTTTTTTCGAAATCTGATATTATCAAATACTGAATTGAATTCTTTGTCTCCAATAATGGGTTTATTTGTGATAAATGTCTGCAATTGTGATAAAATGTGCGAACATTCGGGTCTTTGCCTCCAATCTGTTGAATCGTTTTTACGGTAAATATTGTTAGCACTCATTGACACCAATAATGCATTCATTTTAGTCATGAAGTCATTCATATCTTTATTATATTTTTCTATAAAATGAATCCTAAAACTGAAGAAATTATTATTTGAAATTAAATTAAATTTTATTTGATTAAATAGTAATATAGTCTATATTATATAGAAATGAAACCATACTTTCCGTCGATTATATCGTTTGTATCGAACCCAAAAATTTGAACTCAAAAAGTTGTAGTATTTTTTAATTATTTCTTGTCTAAATTATAGTGCTAGCATTTAATCATTTCACATTATAACCAGAATATTATTTTATAGAATTTTAAATAAATGTTTTTGGAATAATTTATTCATAAATTTGGTTTCTTAATTTCATATAATCTTATTTTAGTCAAACAATTAACATTATGATAATGTCTAAATTGCCCGAATATAGTAATTAGAAAACTTTAGATTACTGTTTCAGAAATGTTACGTAAACATTAAGAGAGGATTTTGACTTTTTTTAAATTGAAATAAAATTAAAAGTTCATAGTTTTACCTTTGGGAGCGTCGGTGGACTCGACAGCCATCACCTCCTCGTGAGCGGCGCCGGTGGTGGCAGTGGTAGTGGTGGACACCGTCTGGTCTGATATATCCAAATGAGTGGTCATGTGTTGTGTGGATGTGTTGGAAGTGTTGGACTGTTTGTGATAACGTGTGACACAAACACAACAACCAAACAGTGACTCAAATATAGCGCTCTTATGGCAGTNGGACTGTTTGTGATAACGTGTGACACAAACACAACAACCAAACAGTGACTCAAATATAGCGCTCTTATGGCAGTCAATGCAATACTAGTGAACAGTTTGTATGCGAGTGTTGTTCACGATTTGCATTGCGTTCGCACTGTTTGTGTCAACAAGAGTTGAGTGCATGTCATGAATGAAGCAATGCTTGTGCGGTCTATGAGTTGCCATCTGTTGTGTAATTTTAGTTCAAAAATAAAAGTTTAAAAGTTTTAAACTAATTAATTAATACTTTTTTATTTTAAAAAATAAACTACATTTCATTAGTGATGTTAACCAAACTAAAAGTTAAATGACCCTGCTCTCAGTCGTATATTAAATACATTTATTGATATAACATACATTAATATATTTAATTGTATTTAATTATT